ATCAACTCCTTACTCCGTGACACTATAGCAAACGCTCTAACCACTGCGCCATGCGGGCTTTTCCGAAAAGTCTTTTCTCCAAAATATTAAAGAAAATACATAGATAGATACATAATAACTAAACTTGCTATTCATATTCCTCTGTATTGAAAAACAAAAATTTAGTTTGTAACAAAGACCAAAAACCCAGTATATCATGATTTTATAGTATAATGGTTATCGAAAATTTTCCCAAAAGGTCAATATTTTCCTAATCTTTATGGCCTCAACCCAATTCCCACAAAGGGGCATTAGAGCCCAGGCTCTTGGACTTCTCTGGGACTGCTGTCAGGTTGGGTCTGGTTGGTACAATATATATATATATATATATATATATATATATATATACCCTCTTTGTGGCAAAAAGAAGAGGCCCTTAAGCCACAATACTCACCTGAGTAACTGTGGCCCTGCTTTTCTTCATCAACAGAGTTTTTACTCTATATATTCCTTTGCAAAACTGTGATCTCCTACAATTGTGGCCCCACCATGACCCTAGGGGTCATGATTTAAACAAATTTGAATTAATGCTACCTGATGAAGCTTTAATATAAATTATGGGGAAGATGATTTTTATAATAAAAATTATGCTACATGTAAAACTTGTGGTAAAACCCTACTCCTGTAGTCATGATTTGAACAAATATTAAATTTACTGGTACACTATGAAGCTTTCACATCAATTTCATCTTTCTAAGCCTGTTGGTTCTTGAGAAGATTTTTGAAAGATTCCAATTTTTTTTACTTATTCTTAATTATTGCCTATTAAAGGGGGCATGACTCTTCATTGAACAAACATGAATCCCATTCACCTAAGGATGCTCTCTGACAAAGGATGAATCATTTAAACGTCCAAATTTGGCCCCCCCCCCCATAATTTACAAAAAATTAAATCAAAGTTTTTCTACATATTTTTGCCCCAATCTTTCCATCAAACATTGTAGTTTATTAATTTCAATTTCAATTTTTACCTCCTTGCGCTGTAATTAGGTATTTATGTGATTAATATAGCAGGGGTATGTTGTTTACATTGATTTTCATAGACTTTAGGCCACACCCCCATTTTGCAAGCCCATTTTTTATATGAAGGCATAGATGTTTCAAGTTGTAGTAAATACGGTCAATGTAAAGAGTTATACTAGTCATTTACATTCATGAAAGAAATTGAAACAGTCTTCCGCTCATTTGTTATTTTCAAAAAAAGGTGAAAAATCACGGGTGCTTGTCTCCATAGTAAAGGCACCTTGTTTACAAATTTCAACCCCGTCTCTGACCTCATGAATAACAAAGCACTGAACACATGACTCAAATCTATTCACTTTCGCGCTTTGAGCACACCTATGTGACATTGTGTCTAGTGTCTGTGAGCCATCGATGCATGGTCAAATCATTTTTCAAATGGGTATTTAAAATTTTCGGAGAATTTTTTTTATGATTAAGATGTGTTAAGATTTTCAGTGGATTTTGTTTGATTTTTTTTTTCGGTATCTATCAATTTATATTGAGGTCCTGTAGCATATAGCTTGCACTTACTGCTTGTGTCTCATAAATACAGAATTCTAAAATTTAAATTACTGTGGGTATACATGTATATTATACATTTGCCCTTGTTCCTAAATATATATCAGTGCTCTGTTCATTGACTTGGAAGATATGAGAGATTTTTTTCAGTTAAAACTGTCATTAATTTTATAGTCTGTTATTTGAAAAACACCAATTCATCATACCTTTAGAAAAATAGTTTGTAAGTTACAAGTGCACAAATGCATACTTCCAATAGAATAAACCTTCATTTATAGAAACCTTCATGGAAAGAAATTGAAGTACGGAGCGCTCAAAAAACCTGTGTATCGGATGAAAAGTCACTGAATACATTTGCACAAAAAAAGCACCCCTAATTTGAATAGAAGGAAGTTTCAGGTTTCTTCTGAAGCAAATACTATAACTTTTTACATCGGAACGAAATTTTACAATTTTTTTTATTGTTGCAGATCATTTAAAAAAGTCCATGTTCACAGGTATTTTTAAAGCATAATGTTTAAAAGCAAGAACTTACATTTGTATGACCCTTTCACATGTCCGATCAACGATAGTAGTAAAAAAAAAAAATCAGTTGAATGAAAAAGGGCGTTAAAATTACCTCGGAGTGATTTATTATTTATCTTACTACAGGGAGAAAGTTTGTTAAAATCAAAAAGTACAGGAGTGGATTTCGGCAATTAATGAATTCCTAAATCAGGAAGATCATATTAACTAGTCTGGCATGAATAAACAAGTTTTTTTTTTTGTTTTTGTTTGAAACAATGCAATTTAGACTGTACAAAGTACACTGACACTGTTTCTTTACCCACCAGCGATGATACTGACGTTTAATTGACGTTTAAATTTTCACTTTCTTAACTATCTATTTTTTATACACCGAGTGTAGTTTTATATCATAATTCAACCGTCTATGTGTATTTGTTGTAGCACTCGGATTTTGCAAAAATCTACATATGTATGAAAAAATTTCAAATTATGTAATAAGCTGGATTAATTATCTCTCTTTCAAAAAAAGGTTTCTTTGAAGTATGAAAAATAGTGTATCCTTCGTTATACTTCTGTTTCCAAAGTCCATTGTGTATTCAATGTATAAATAATTTAATGAATTTCTAGTAAATCATTTCAAATATGACTCATAAGTTAAGCAGAAAAGAAATCAAAGTTAAGCCAGCCAAATTAAAAATGTATGCTTATATTTTGTCGGTCTCTAGCATGAAAAAAAGGCTTTTTAGGTGTCAGATAATTATAAAACTTAGTACACCTCGAACACATGCTAATGTATTCATACTAATCGCACACTTGATAGACTCTCCTCCTTCTCATTTAAATAATACAATGACCTGTATAACTGTAATGGCGAAACCGGGATTTTACAGTGAAGTATGCGATTTTATTTAATCGATATAATGTATATATTGAAAGTCTCTTTCCATAAAAAATCTTTTATGAGTATCTATACAGACTATGCTTGAAGACTTTAGCTATAAAATAACAATGTTCTAATTTGAAAAGGTAAAATTATGCATTTAAAAAGGGGCGAGAAAGCAGTGTTAAGAGGATTCATTCTTTGGTTGAAATTGGCCTGGTATTTCTAGAGAAGATGTAGCTGCAATAATGTAGCCCACTCCGATTTTTTTTTTTTTTTTTTTTTTTTTTTTGGGAGAGGGCTACAACTCCTTAGGATCTCCGTAATGGTGCAAGTGCGGGAGTGATTCACTCCCGCACGGATTTCGGATTAAATTATCAGTAAATGGCTATTTAATTTACATTTCTTACCTGAACTCCAAAAATGTAGTTATGCAAAACATAAATCAATCCAAACACACACAGAACAATCCATATATCGGTTATTTTTCGTGTATGTCAACTTCACAACTTGAATTTATCCGCCATGTTTACTGACCTTGATCGATTTTATTTTGGGACAGCCAATGAGACTAGGGATCTCTAGGGAGCGGATCTCTGTAGGAATTACCTTATTTCAGGCATAAATATCGCTGTTTACTAAAAAATGTCACATGGAATAGTTTTATTTATCAATATTTAGTGAAGCCATACAGCACAATCATTTAGTATCCCCGAAAATCTACTTTACAAAGTAATTTATAATTTTCAAGCGCAAGTCTCAGTGCATCACGCGAGAACTGTCATGGCTTCTGATGAGATCGACTGGTAAACAAGCAGATTTATTTTATCTGGTTTTCGCGTTTAACAGGCTATGTTGTTGACAGTGAATAAAAATTTCGCCTTTTTAGAAGTTGAATGTAAAAACAATTTATTTTGCCTGCAGTCGCCCGTATTTAAAAAATATATTTGCACCATTACAGAGATGCTGTGGAATTGTAGCCCTCTCCAGAAAATATCAGATAAAAAAAATCGGAGAGGGCTACATTATTGCAGCTAGAGAAGATGAAATTGTGAAAAGTTTACATCAACAGACAATAGACATATTTTGATAAAAGGAGCTCATGTAAGCCTTTGGCCAAGGTGAGCATAAAAGTTTAGAATGTCTGTAATGATAGTGAAAACATTTGTCCATCTACTATTTAAGGGCAAACTTACTTCTTAGAGAGTACACGTGTACCAAATTTGAAGTCTGTAAAGCAAATGGTTATGAAGATACTGAGCTGACAATATCTTCTTATATCTAATGTTGATGTAGTCTGACCCTTAACCTTGTAATCTCAAATTCAACAATGGTCATCTACTCCTTATGGGAGATCAGTGAACAAAGTTTGATGTCTGTTAAGGCTTAAGCAAAGAGTTTTTGGGATATTGAGCATTCAGTATATCTTCCTATGCCTTAAAGCAATATGAGCTGCATTTTTGAGAATTTTATTTTGCTCTTAAAATGCATTATTATTATAAATTTGTATGTAATTTAAACTTTTATGATCAATAAGACTACAATAAAGTATTAAATTGTTTCAGAAGAAACACTTCTGTACAATCGAATGTATAGTATTATATAAGAAATCAATATTGTACAGGACGACAATAATGTAATTTTGCTTCAATCAAAGCTTATAAATAGCTTTTCCATTGCAAATATGAACAACAGAAGTTTATTATAAACATTTTTTTCTGTCAACGAAATAATTAATTACAATTTTGCAACAAAGTTTTTCTACATCAAAGTTGCAGCTCATATTGCTTTAAGTAGTTTGACCTAAAAAAAAATCTACAGCAGTCATTTACTCCTCGTGGGGTCCAGAACCAGTGTATGTTTATAAAACAATTGTTAATGATTGTGAGCATGGAAATAATATATATATCTGTGAAATACATGAAAAAAAATTAGTGTTTCTCAGAGTAAGTACAAAATTCAGCATAAAATTTCTGACGTATTCTTGTAGTAGCCCATGATGCAACTCAACTCTTTTCGCTGATTGATTGGTGTGTCAAGGCAAGTCAGTACCTCATTTAGCATCAGAAAATATAGTTTCCAATACACATTCTGTGATATTACAACTCTTTAGGTAAACTAAGAAATCTAAAAAGTGCATATAAGCCAGGTTTACTGTACACTCCACATCCATCTTTTAATTTATCTTACCTTGTAATCCAGATACTGTATAATTCACACAGTTACTCAAGGTCTGGTTGAGGCATTGTGCTTTTCCTCCACTTATGCAAAGTCTGTATTCACCATTCTCAGACACAGTTATGGATGATTCAGTAGGAAAATTTGTAAAATATGCAGACTACAAAATGTAAGTAAAAACTCCATAAAAGAAAAAGGAGAAAAGATTTTTTAATTTGAATTTTGCAATATTTTGACATTTTAAAAAGTTTATCATATTTTATGTACGTATAAATATAGGGATTGCACAACCATAACATGTTGTTTTAAGATCTCTGATGACACAGAATGGATGGAAGACTTTCTTGTTGATATTGAAATGAGTTTTCTCTATATTCCTATTACATTCATTTACAGGTGTAAATTTTACATGTATGCATATTTTACTCATGGTGTGTAAATGTAATTTTTTAATGAGTTGGCATTTTCAAAGCATTGTTTGAGCTCTTATTGCTCTTCAACTACCATGCACTAATAATATTATTATTTCTTGTTTAAGTGCTAAAAAAAACATGTTTGTAACACAGTGATACCCCTTTATGGCAGCTTATGGCAAAGGTTAAAGTTTCCCAAATGGAAGTAAAACTCCAAGGTCAAGAGATAAAATATTGGTACCCAAGGAAAGGTCTTGTCACAAGGAATACACCTGTGAAATATGAAAGTCCTTGTACTAACCATTCAAAAGTTATAGCCAAGGTTACAGTTGTTTAAAAGTAGGTCAAACTTGACAGAGTCTAGGTCAAAAGGTCAAAAATATTTATACCCACGGAGAGGTCTGCTTACAAGCAATACATATGTGAAGCATGAAAGCCATAGCACCAAGTGTTCAAAAATTATGGCCATGAAAGATTAAAATTTGGTAAAATTTTGCAAAAGTGGGTCAAAATTCAAGGTCAAGAGATCAAAATATGTTAGTATTCAAAAGAAAGGTCTTGTCACAAGGAATACACATATGAAATACGAAAACTATAGTGCCAACCAATCAAAAGTTATTGGCAATGTTAAAGTTTTAGCAGACAGACAGGGCAAAAACTATATGCCCCCGAATCTTTGATATCAAGGGCATAATAATAATGGTATTTAATTATACAACAGAAGTTTACTGTTCTTGCTAATATAACAAAAGGCCCATGGGCCACATTGCTCACCTGAGCACACTGGCCAGGAAAAAGCACTAAGTTCACTGTATTGAAAAGTTTACAGGGGGGGGGGGGTAGAATTTTAAATTATTTGCATATGCTTTGTAGTGTTGCACAATTTCACTCCCAAGAGTTACCTCTCTTTGTACATTATCCCAGGTATGTAACCCTTTCCAGTTTGTTTTTTAGACTTTTTTATGTTGTTCCTACATAAGTATAGGAAGCCATATTGGCCAACGTGCTTGTTGTTTTTGCTTGTTCTAAGCATTTACCACTTTATAAATCATTCTTGTGGGTACACTCCTGCACCATATGTAAGTATTGTAAAAGAAAAATAAAGGAATGTGTTTGTTATTAGCAGTCTGTGTAATGTTTACATATTATGACTGGGGGACAGACTTGGGATCTGGCACATGTCTTAAATTTTATTCTTTGATACATTTCCATATATGTATGTATTGTGTTACATCCATATTTGAAGTTTACTTTGATCGGATAGGTAGATATATTTTGATGTGTATTAGAGTTATTAGTTATGTAAAGTTCTGTTATGAATGTAAATGCTGTATTGATCCTCAGTTCATGTGATGTATAAACTGCATGTAGCTCAGAGTGTATTTAATATTTCTATGATAGGGCAATCTGTTATTTAATATAAAGTAGAAAAAATTTCACTAAATTCTGGCAAAATACATGGTATTATTTACAAGTCTGTCCTGCTCGTCTGTAAATTGTTGTTTATCTTACAATGTAAAATGAGGTTAATTGTGTATCACTGTATTGTATGAATTTTTTGTAACTTTGTCCTTTTATTATTTTCAGTCTCTTACCGCATACAATAACAATAAAGAGTGATCCACCTTGATTGTTTTGGCTTGGTAAACTATCTGCACAGAGGCAGAATAGTAAGAGAATATGACCAGGAACAACCTCTGAGATCATGGCGACTGACGAAAAACAACAGGTCAAAGACAGTGAGGATAAACTAACTAAGAGTTCGGGTCTTGATGGAGAAGGGCCAAGCATCCTTCGACGATAAGTTTCTGAATCTGCAAGAAAAATGCACCAGCTCATGGAGGGAAATAGAGGACATTATAGCAAATTGTGATAGTGATAATAGGGACAGAAAGTACTTAAGGACAACAGAAGACCATGTGAACGCCAAGTTCAAACAGTACCTTAAAGAAAGTCAAGACTTAGCAAACTTCCTAGCAAAAACACGCACAGATCAAGCTCTACAGAAACTGGAGCAGCATGAGTCCCAGTATAGCACACATTCAGATATAGTGTTCACATTTCGGGATGCTCTAAATGATAGACTACTGGAGGCAGCTGAATGACTTTCAGAGAAGTTTGAAGGTAAATCCAGGGCTTCATCACAGGCCTCAAAGACAGCATCAGATATACTCAAGAAACGAGTGAAAGCCAAGACCCAACAAACACGACTGAAATATTTGGAAGAGCAGGCGGCTCTGGAAAAACAAAAGGCAGCTACTGACATTGATATATATGGCTTTCTAAAGAAAAAGAACCAGCAGCTGTGGCAATTGCAGAAGTGAATGCCATGGAAAATTATGATCGTGGATCACAAGGAAGTGTTCGATTTGACATTGAAGAAGAAAGTGTGGAACAGACAGCCAGAGAAAGAACTGAAGCTTATGTGAACTCGCAGGTCAGCAACCCCTCAGAGAATACCTAACCATGTTCAACATGATGAAACCTCACATCATTCGAGACCTGTAAGCATCACTTCACCTCAACCAGGATTTCATTTTCCAACAGCCAGCCTTGTTCAATCTCACGAACAATCACCTATAGTTGATCTGAGCAACTACCTTTTAAAAAAGGATTTACTATTACATCGTTTCTCAGCTTTTGATGATTCTGCACAGAACTACACAGTGTGGAAACTTGGTTTCCTAAATATCCTGAAGGAATTAAGAGTATCACCGATCGAAGAACTTGATCTGCTGACAAAATGGCTAGGCCCTGAATCCAAAAAATATGCACTCTCCATACGCTCAGCAAACACTTTACAACCAGAGAGAGGTTTATCCTAGCTGCAATAATGTAGCCCTCTCCGATTTTTTTTATCTGATATTTTCTGGAGAGGGCTACAATTCCACAGCATCTCTGCCATGGTGCAAATATATTTTTTAAATACGGGCGACTGCAGGCAAAATAAATTGTTTTTACATTCAACTTACTTCTAAAAAGGCAAAATTTTTATTCACTGTCAACAACATAGCCCGTTAAACGCGAAAACCAGATAAAATAAATCTGCTTGTTTACCAGTCGATCTCATCAGAAGCCATGACAGTTCTCGCGTGATGCACTGAGACTTGCGCTTGAAAATTATAATTTACTTTGTAAAGTAGATTTTCGGGGATACTAAATGATTGTGCTGTATGGCTTCACTAAATATTGATAAATAAAACTATTCCATGTGACATTTTTTCGTAAACAGCGATATTTATGCCTGAAATAAGGTAATTCCTACAGAGATCCGCTCCCTAGAGATCCCTAGTCTCATTGGCTGTCCCAAAATAAAATCGATCAAGGTCAGTAAACATGGCGGATAAATTCAAGTTGTGATGTTGACATACACGAAAAATAACCGATATATGGATTGTTCTGTGTGTGTTTGGATTGATTTATGTTTTGCATAACTACATTTTTGGAGTTCAGGTAAGAAATGTAAATTAAATAGCCATTTACTGATAATTTAATCCGAAATCCGTGCGGGAGTGAATCACTCCCGCACTTGCACCATTACGGAGACCCTAAGGAGTTGTAGCCCTCTCCCAAAAAAAAAAAAAAAAAAAAAAAAAAATCGGAGAGGGCTACATTACTGTAGATTCCTAAATATACGCGAGGAATAAATTATCGCGTAATTACGCGAGAAGCACCGCTCGCGAAATAAAATTACTCGCTTTTATTTTCATGGTGCTTTAATGTATGTAAAATCTCTAGATAAATCAACCATTCGCGAATTATTATTCTCGCGATTTGACGCCCTTGGGTCATTTCGCGATAATAAGTACTCGCGTAAAATAAGGAATCTACAGTATTGCAGCTAGGTTTATCCCTGATATGGGCCCGATTAGAAGACTGCTATGGGAAACCGGAGATGGTAGAGGCTGCATTGAAGTCAAAGCTCAGAGACTTTCCAAAAATAACAGAGACAGATCCAAAGCGTTATTATGATCTACTTGACTTGCTGTATGAGATTGAGTCCAACAAGCAGGATCCAAAATATTCCAGACTACTTGGATACTATGACACTTCCTCAGGCATACTGCCTATTGTTAGTAAACTCACCAACCAAGTACAAGATAAATGGGCCACCCGTGCATCTCAGTATAAACGTTTGAACCATGTTCCATTCCCACCATTCAGCATTTTTGTCAGTTTCATACAGGACATCTGTGAGTTGAAAAATGATCCAGGTCTTGTTTCATCCACCAGGTATTCATTCGACAAGAAGAGAGAACCTACAAACAAAGTCTTTGTGCGGAAGTCAGATGTTGGTACCGAAATGCCAACATCCTCTACACAGTGCCCTATACACAAGGCTGACCATCCCTTGGAACAATGCCGTGCTTTCCTGGCAATGACATTCCCAAATAAACATGACTTTCTGAAAAGTAGGGAACTCTGTTTCCGTTGCTGCAAGGGAAAGCATAGGACCAACAAGTGTAAACTTAAATTGAGTTGTGATGTATGTAAGAGTGACCGCCATGTTACCTGTATGCACTTTCACAGAGACACTGGGCAAGAGAATGGCGGGGAGAGTTCATCTAAAGAATCACTATCTGCGAAGGGAGATGAAAACATTATCACGTCTTCTTGTATCCAATTGTGTGGGAAGGACAATGTTGGCCGATCTTGTGGGAAGATTGTCCTTGTGAACGTATACCAATCTAACAGACCTGAACTTACCTTTAGAACTTACGCTATGATGGATGATCAGAGCAATAGAACCTTAGCTGGTTCCAAGTTTTTTGATCACTTTGGACTAGAAGGCAATGACTGTGTTTTCACATTGAATTCCTGCAGTGGTAGTGTTACATTTTCTGGAAGAACAGCAGAGGGATTCGTCATCGAGCCAGTGTCAGCTGAACAGAAGTTATACTTACCTAAAATGATCATAGAATGTGATGAGATTCCCAACAATCGTAAGGAAATACCGACTCCTGAAGTTGCGTCTGCATATCAACATCTGCTGGATATTAGACCATTTATTCCTGATTTGGATCAAACAGCCGAGATTCTGCTTCTTGTAGGAAGGGATTTGATCCAAGCACATCATGTGATCGAACAAAGACTTGGGCCACCAGACTTGCCGTTTGCACAAAAACTGCACTTGGGGTGGACTATTATCGGTGAAGTGTGTTTGGGTAGTGCTCATAGGCCCAATTCCATTGTAGTGAATAAGACTCATGTGTTGGACAATGGGCGTAGTACCATATTTAAACTTGTGATTCCAAGCTATTCATTACACAAGAAAAACGTTGTCAACATGGTGTCAGTTCTTGCTCGGAAATATTCTGTAGTACAGTGAATGATGAGACTCCTGGAATGCCAGTTTCTGGAAATAATGAACAGAGAATTTCACCAGGATATATACGGGAAATGGACGGCCCCATTACCCTTCCGACATGACAGGCCTGTGCTACCAAATAATTACACCCAAGCAATGAGACGTGCTATGTTCTTGGATGCTTCATTGAGAAAAAATCCCACCAAACTTGGACATGCCTTAGAATTCATGAGGAACATTTTTGACAGAAATCATGCAGAGGTAGCACCGCCTCTGAAACCAAACGAGGAGTGTTGGTACCTGCCAATTTTCGGGGTGTACCACCCACTCAAACCAGAAAAGATACGCATGGTGTTCGACTCATCAGCCCGCTTCCAAGACTTGTCTCTGAATAGCATACTTTTGTCAGGTCCATACCTTACAAATAGTCTCATTGGAGTGTTGATGTGTTTTAGGATGGAAGCCATAGCTGTGACTGCGGACATCGAGCAGATGTTCCACTGCTTTGGTGTCTCAGAGAAACATAGGAACTTCTTAAGGTTCTTATGGTACACAGACAATGAACCTACTAAGCCTCTAACAGAGTACCGCATGACAGTCCAGGTTTTTGGAAACACCCCATCACCTGCTGTGGCTACTTATGGGTTTCGTCTAGCTGCTATTCAGGCAGAACAAAGCTTTGGGAAGGACGTAAGAGAGTTTGTGGAACGGAACTTTCACGTGGATGATGGTCTGGTGTCTCTACCAACAACGCAAGAAGCCACAGATCTCCTACAACGTACTCAACAGGACTTAATGACCCATGGGAACCTTAGATTACATAAGATTGCATCTAATGATCCTAGAGTGATGCAGAGCTTTGATGTGAAGGACCTAGCGAAGGACTTGATTGACTTAGATATTACACATGATGATCTGCCAGCTCAGAGGAGTCTAGGACTCATGTGGGATCTTCAGAAGGATGCCTCTGGTTTTAGACTTAGCAGGAAGGAGAAACCGTACACTAGAAGAGGTGTTTTATCATGTGTTAATAGCTTGTATGACCCTCTAGGCTTTATAGCACCTATCACTATTCAAGGAAAGCTACTTCTCAGAGAAATGTTTAGTTTTATTATGGGTAAATCTAAAGTTGCACCTAGACCAGCCACATCTATACCACGCTTAGAGCTATGTGCAGCTGTCCTGGGAGTAGAAATTGCTACTATTATAAGGGATCAACTAGACATCAATGCAGATCATTTCAAGTTCTACACGGACAGCAGGATTGTTCTGGGTTATGTGTACAATCGCACCAAGAGGTTTTTAACCTATGTAAGCAACAGAGTTCAAAGAATTATAAGCTTTTCTAAATCATCTCAATGGAATTTTATCCCTACGGACCAGAACCCAGCAGACCATGGCACTAAATCTACTATTGACAGTGCACTGTATGACTCATGGCTCCGTGGACCAATGGAATGGCTATGCACAGAAGATACTGCAGATGGTCTTGCCCAAACATATGATTTGGTGGATCCAACAACAGACAAGGAAATCAAACAGGACACGGTAGTTTGCAAAGTGGACATATCTACCCCCTTAACCTGGACTCTATGCTTTGAGAGGTTTTCTTCATGGAAGAACCTTGTAAGAGCCATCATGTGCCTAAAACGAATTGCCCATGCAGTGGCATACCAAAACAACCACAGTAAGAATATTGAAGTTACAAAAGATAGCAGTGCATTCAGGAAGACAGAGGAGCTTATAATACGTCATGTCCAATCAGAAGTCTATGAGAAGGAAATTACTGCTGTTAAGAATGAAAGGCCCCTCCCTAAAAATAGTTCCATTCTAAGACTCAATCCATTATTAGATGAAGAAGGCATGGTGCGAGTTGGAGGTCGATTACAGCGTGGTGACTTTGATTTAGGGGAAAGGAGTCCCATTCTCGTACCAGGAAGTCATCACATTGCTAAGCTGTTAGTTCTACACTTCCACGAGGTAAAGCACCATCAAGGGCGCCATATAACAGAAGGAGCAATCTGCAATGCAGGGTTATGGATAACTGGTGCCAAGCGTATTGTGTCGTCAGTGATTTACAAGTGTGTGAATTGTCGCAGAGGGCGTGGGAAACTTCTTACTCAGAAGATGGCTGACCTACCAGCGATACGGTTAAAGCCCTCCCCTCCATTCACTCACGTTGGAGTGGACTGTTTTGGGCCATGGAGTGTGACAACTAGGCGTACTCGTGGTGGGAGTGCCGACCCTAAGAGATGGGCGGCTTTGTTTACCTGTATGTGCTATAGGGCGGTGCACATTGAAGTATTAGAACAGATGAATACACCTTCCTTTGTGAATGCTCTACGTCGATTCTACGCCATAAGAGGAAATGTTAAGGAGTTTTACTCAGATAGAGGCACAGATTTTGTTGGCAGTGTGCGTGAATTAGGTATAAACTCTGTGAATGTTGAGGATGCACCCATACATAACCTACTCACAGACAGAGGAACAATTTGGAGGTTTAACCCCCCTCATTCCTCACATATGGGAGGAACTTGGGAGCATCTCATAGGGGTCATGCGCCGTATTCTAGACTCCATCTTGCAAGAGAATCAACACACCAAACTAACACATGAAGTGCTCACCACTTTCCTTGCAGAGGTCTCGGCAATTGTCAACAACAGACCTATCGTTCCTATCGCAACTGATACAGAGTCACCTGAAGTGCTTACACCCAATGTTCTACTTACCCAAAAAATGGGGGATGTATTTGAAAGTCACATGAACGTTGATGTTCGCAATATGTACACATCTCAGTGGAAGATAGTCCAAATCCTTGCTAACAGATTTTGGGACTGATGGCGCACAGAGTACCTTCAGTCGCTACAAGAACGCAGAAAGTGGGCTGACACCAAACCAAATGTTCAAGAAGGAGATATTGTACTTTTGAAGGATGCGGAACAACATCGGAACTTCTGGCCTCTCTGTCGCATTACTTGTGTGTTCCCTAGTGAAGATAATCTTATGAGAAAGGTTGAACTTGTGACATTCAAGGAAGGAACAAAGAGAACCTATGTGCGACCGATCACCCAGATTGTACCTTTGTTGTCAAATGACGACTAACTGTTCTGTGAAATGTTGAATGAATAGTTCATTCATTGAATTAAAGTTTATATATTTTTTGTGCTTTGTAGATATCCTCAGTTAAGGATAATGTTGCATTCTTATGTTTTTCTTGCAAGGGTGTGATATTTCACATCAGGCGGGGAGTGTAGTGTTGCACAATTTCACTCCCAAGAGTTACCTCTCTTTGTACATTATCCCGGGTATGTAACCCTTTCCAGTTTGTTTTTTAAGACTTTTTTATGTTGTTCCTACATAAGTATAGGAGGCCATCTTAGCCAACGTGCTTGTTGTTTTTGCTTGTTCCAAGCATTTACCACTTTATAAATCATTCTTGTGGGTACATTCCTGCACCATATGTAAGTACTGTTAAAGAAAAATAAAGGAATGTGTTTGTTATTAGCAGTCTGTGTAATGTCTGGGGGACAGACTTGGGATTTGGCACATGTCTTAAATTTTATTCTTTGATACATTTCTATATATGTATGTATGTATGTATGTATTGTGTTACATCCATATTTGAAGTTTACTTTGATCAGATAGGTAGATATATTTTGATGTGTATTACAGTTATTAGTTATGTAAAGTTCTGTTATGAATGTAAATGCTGTATTGATCCTCAGTTCATGTGATGTTTAAACTGCATGTAGCTCAGAGTGTATTTAATATTTCTATGATAGGGCAATCTGTTATTTAATATAAAGTTTAAAAAATTTCACTAAATTCTGGCAAAATACATGGTATTATTTACAAGTCTGTCCTGCTCATCTGTAAATTGTTGTTTATCTTACAATGTAAAATGAGGTTAATTGTGTATCACTGTATTGTATGAATTTTTTGTAACTTTGTCCTTTTATTATTTTCAGTTTCTTACCGCATACACATTCGCATACAATAACAATAAAGAGTGATCCACCTTGATTGTTTTGGCTTGGTAAACTATCTGCACAGAGGCAGAATATGCTTCCATATCAATATAACAATGGCTTTGCTGTTCTAGAGCAGAAGATTTTTAAAGATTTTTTTCCCTATAATTTCCTTTGTAAAACTTTGATCCCCCATTGTGGCCCCACCCTATCCCCAGAAGTCATGATTTGAACAAACTTGAATCTACACTACCTGAGGTTGCTTCCATATCACTATGACTAAACATAGCTTTTCTGTTCTTGAGAAGACGATTTTTCCTATATATTCTTATGTAAAACTTTGACCCCCATTGTGTCCCCACCCTACCCCCAGGGGTCATGATTTGAACAAACTTGAATCTAAACTTCCTGGGGATACTTCCCTATCAATATGACTAAACATGTCTTTGCTGTTCTTGAGAAGACTTTTAAAGATTTTTTTCCTATATATTCCTATGTTAAACTTGACCCCATTGTGACCCCACTCTACCCCAAAAGGGGCATCATTTGAACTAATCTGAATCTACACTACCTGAAGATACTTCCATATCAGTATACTAATCATGGCTTTGCTGTTCTTGAGAAGAAGATTTTTACAGTTTTTTTCAATATATTCCTAGTGATGGGAATCGGTAAGAATTTCATAATAATTGTGGCCCCAACCTACACCCAGGGTGTCATCATCTACAATACCTGAGGATGCTTTCCTATCAGTATGACTGAATGTGGTTTTCTTTTCTTGAGATTTTTTCCTATATATTACTACCTAAAACTTGGATTCCCCATTGTGTCCCCACCCTACCCCCAGGGGTCATGATTTGAACAAACTTGAATCTAAACTTCCTGGGATATTTCCCTATCAATATGTCTAGACATGTCTTTGCTGTTCTTGAGAAGACTTTTAAAGATTTTTTTCCTATATATTCCTATGTTAAACTTGACCCCATTGTGACCCCACTCTACCCCAAAAGGGGCATCATTTGATATCTACATTTGATGCTCTATCACCTCAGC